CACGATCTCTCCGATGATCTTTCTAACGTGTGAGCGTTGCTTCGTTTCTTCTGGCGCGTAATGCGCGTGAACCATTTTTGTGCAGAATTGTCACCGGTGATGAAAAATGGATTCTCTATGCGAATATTAAACGCCAAAACAATGGCTCAGTTCTAGACAAAAACCACTTCCGACCCCAAATCCTGGACTCCATCATCAGAAAGTGATGCTTTGCATTTGGTGGGACATCAAATGAGTAATTCATTTCGAACTCCTCAATCCACAGCGAACTGTCAATGCATAGATCTATAGTCAGCAACTGGAACGTTTAAATCAAGCTCTTCTCAGAAATGCCCTTCACTTGTCAATCGAAAAGGTGTTCTTCTTCTCCACGACAATGCACGTCCACGTGTAGCATGTTTGACGCAACACAAAATTATGTAGTTTGGTTGGGAAGTTCTTCCCCACTCACCATATTCTCCAGATATGGTACCATCAGATTACCATCTTTTTCGTTTGCTGCAACACCATCTTAATTGAAAACCGTATACAACTGTGGAAGGTGTTAAAGAGGAAATCGACATGTTTTTTTTTTCTTAAAGCCAATTGATTTCTTTTAATCAGGGCATTAACAACCTGATTGTAAGATGGAAAAGCATCATCGATAAGAATGGAGCCTATTTCATTTAATAAACGTTTTGATTTGATATATAAGTTGTTCGGGTTTTTTCAGCTAAACAAAAAGCGACATTAATTTCTTGACGACCTAATATATTATATGTTCTCTCTATCTGTGTATATACACAATATTGAAAATAATTTGGAGACGGTGAGGAAAAGGGGTATAAGATGCAAATACTACAGGATTTCCACCCCTTCACTGTGTAAAAATGAACTGCACTAGAAAAGAGTCACGAGCTGGTAGTTTAACCTGTAATTGGTTGTCATCAAACCAGACAGGCGTAGTGATAAGTCCATGTTAGGATGTAGCAGACTGGCTTACCTTTCTTCTGGTCAGTAGCTTGAAATAAAGGACTGCGGAGGTAGTCTTAGTTGTTTTGCCATAATACAAAATTCGAATAAAACATTTTCAGTTTTTGTCAAAAAATCAAACATTCTATCTGAATAAAACATTCTAAGTTTTACTAAAACAATATTCCGCGCACACACACTTTCAGTAAAATACTTTTATTTTCGCAACATAACATTTCACTAACATGGCTTATTATATTTAATACAAATGTTTTCAAATATTTCAAGTTTTCTAATAAAGTAGAACATGTATTTATTAGTATATCTCTTATTTATAACACACATGTATATATATATAATGACTTTCAACAAGATAATTTATTGAATCTCTTACAAATTCTAATACTACATATTCTGCAACGATACTTAAATTTCAGTTTAAAAATTAGTATGGTTATATATAAACTACAAAAATCGTACTACAATGGACGTAGCGTGTATCTATGTATGTAACCAACACTTCTGCGCCATCTATTGAATGGCACCACAAACAAAAATCCATTAAAAAAATTCACACTTTTGATATTCAAGATTCAGACAATTAGAAAAATAACTGTGATATGTGCAACAACCATTTCTTTATAGTAGAACAAAATTTTAAATAAAAATACTCTCCTCACAACAAGAACATCACTTGCACTAGGACTGCATGTGAGGGTTTGATTATATCTTTATTGGTGTAATTTTTAAATGTAGTACTGAGAAACTGGATTTCTTAAAAAAAACTATTATGTTTTTCAATAAAGGGTACCACTTTTAATATATAACAACATTACAGTTTATATCAGTAAAATTTATGAACATTTTGAGCTCTGTACATTGAATCGTTTTGATGCAATGAATTGCGTATGATTGAAGAACACAATTCGAACACTTTACCCGTGCAGTACTTCCAAGAAAAAAAAATCATTTTTTAGAAAATGTTAACTTTTTGTACATTTATTTCAATGAGGTATGAATACTACCATTAGTAATTACTAGCACAAACAGCCGCCCGTGGGGTGGGTTTTCCGCTAGTTGTTATAATTTTTCATATTGTTGCGTCATCGAGTCACATGACTACTGTGACGCAACGTTTCTAGAACTATCATGTACTTTGGCGAATGCTCTAGTGTTTGCTAGATGGGGTAGGCGGATATATATAAGAGGGGAAAACGTGACGCGAGAGATTATTGTAATGTGTGTGTAGATAGTGTGCAATTGATCTGCAGTCAGAAGTATTATTGACGTTCGTTG